GCGATGTGAATTAGATAAGTGTTTTCCATGTTTATACGAAACGTCTATAACAACTCCGTGGTTCGCTACAAATGTTCAACATATTATACATTCATATGTTGACGTGACATATATACGTGTTGAATATTCACCTATATATCCGTATCGCATCCCTATAGTTGTTATTGTCGATGGGTCTACTGACTAAACAAGACATGTTCACCCCATTTCATAGTTTTTTCACGAACAACCTGTGAAAAATGTGTATACAGCCATACATTGGACTGCGAATTTGTTTTCCAGAGCCTAAGAATTTATATATATTTACATTTGTCAACTATAAGACTTTAACTGTAAAAAATTGATTTATTCCCTAAATTGAAATTTTTTTGGTAGGTACCTACTTAAATTATATTCAATATATACCTATACCCACCATATCCAACAATAATGGTTTTAAAGTAGGTACATAACAAAATATTATACAATTTGACACTCCGAAAGTTATGATTTTGTGTTTTTACTTTTCCACATATAAAGGTAACGTGAAAAAAATTAAACTTGTTGCTGATCTGGAAATTCGAGTAAAAACCGATAAAGATATTTATGTACTCTCTGATCCCCTGCACTTCGTTGCCCGTTAAAAACTCGAAATGAGACTCACTTTTGATAATACGAGCAGTATATATTATTATCATTATTATTTTTCATTAAACTGAAAAGTGCACTTATTAGAAATGATAAATTAATTATTTCGTATAATATAATTTCGACGAATGCATCTGTTTAAAACGATCAGCGTGACCAAGGGAAAGAGGGATTCATTTATATTTATATAGATAGATAGATAGATATGGATATAGATTGTCGAATCCTACTTCTCAGAACAATTTATATCTACGCTCCGATCAAACACATTATTATTTGAGTTATAAGTCCATAGTTGTAAACTTATAAATAACAACTGTATATTATAGTAACTGTACGCTTTTACTTTTTATGCTCAATAGTTATAATGAATAATATTATTCTTTAATTCATTACTTGTTACATTATAATATACTTGTATGGTTTATACAATTTTATTTAAAAACTTGTACGAGTAAATCGGGAAAAAAATATAAAAATGACATTATATTATACGTATATATTATACATAGGTATATCTATACATAATATAATATTTCTAAATGATTAAAATTTGAATATCGATTATTTCTATACAACTAGATAGATACTTATGAGTTTTTAAAAAATGTACCGATACTGTGTATGTATAAAAATACACAATATTTAAATATGTATGAGCAGACAGGTACATTTTTTATGTATTTTTTTTTAACATTTTACGTCAGTAAATATTGTTGCTTGCAGTTAGGTACATAAATATAGGTAGTTTTTTACACTTTACAGTGCAGTATTGATTTATATTAAAAAATAAATCACATTATGTCTAACTAAACGTGATTTAAAATTATACTTATACTTTATAGCCGATATCAACGGCTGAGTAGGTATACATAGGTACCTATACCTATCATTTATTTCATCCGTTTAAATTCTTAATTTTCGTTGAATCGTCAACAACATATTTTTAATTTATAATGTTTGTCTCCATTTGTGTGGGTAAAAAAGAAGTACCTACCTATGTAATTCAATTATTCAAACATATTTTTGTTATATTATTTATGTCATATAGGTACAAAAACTAATTACCAACATTGTACACTTTGCAGTCGTATTATATTATGCATGTATGTAATACAAATTTAAATTTTTCTTGATGATTAACAAATTACACACACATATATATTTATATAGGTTATCCTTAAGTCATGGCATATAGGTATAAGAGTATATACAAACAGTATATATATATATAGTTCGAAAGTTTATAAACAGATTTCAAAATCGAATACTTATATAAGTACCTTATATTAATATGCGTATACACAGGATTGTATAAATGTGAAAATAATCATTTTTACACTTTTAAAACATATATATAGTAAAGCACAGATTAACCTATATGATGTACGTGTTCCGCAGTGTTTCATGTGCACATTACTCAGTTACATGTATATATAATAATGCACATAATATACGCATATAAATTATAATACCGAGCGCGTGCATCCATATTATGCACTTGCTTATATATCATTAAATAGTTTTGCAGCGACTTTATACAATACATATAATATAATATATATTATAAACATTATACCTACATATATATAGTTAAAATTAAATACACGAGTACCTACATATTATTGTGTAGGTATTATTAAATGTATAAACATAAGCCGTATAATCACTGTACATATATTGTACGGTCGTTATTGGAATTTGCGTCATTTATAAATAGGCCCTTCGTTATAATTATATACGCAGATACCTTTTGTTTTCCCATATATACCCACTCAACTGCTTACTTACGTGTATTTGTGGTGTTTTGCTGCGCTGCAGTGTTAGGACTTTTTCAAATGAGGATTGCTGACTATAGTGGAAATACAAATTCCATAACCCCACCAATTATTAAAGCGCTATGGTTATAATATATATTATGTACAATGTATATACCATCTATATTATATTATATGCAATAGGTACTCCTATTATATTATTATTGTAGATAGGTACCTGCAATTTGCAAAATAATTATTTTATAGATAATTGTACATATTATAGAATGTTCACCTATTCATATAAAATATATATATTTATATACAGGCAAATTAAAATAAAATTAGTTTCATACATAATAGATTTTACTTTACACCATAGTTGTATAATCCTGCATGTACGTTTACCGTATACCTAGTCACCACAGTGCATATATAATATTATGTATACTGTGTACCTATTGTAGTATAGTAAGTACTCGCCTACAATCATAAAAATAGTATATGCATAGGTATAGCATACGATATGTCATAATTCATGTATCATAAATAATAATATATTATAATATGTAACATTTATATACGGTGAAAATATATTAATGAATTCTTACCTATATGAATTTATCATACTATATTTAAGTGTATAATGCATAATAATACTACAATGATTGTGGTAGTAAAACGAGGGATATGGGAATAACAATGAACTACAATACTGAATACATCATCTAGTCTTGAATTTTTAATATAAAATACTTCCCGCATCAATATTATTGTTTGAACTTTGATTGGTGTAGGTAACTTAAGTATTTCGAGTCTAACCACTGATATACATAATAATACATACTTTTGATTACAATAATTGTAATTATTGCTTTCAATTTGTTTTTTTTTCAAACTGTAAATTAATTTGGTATATGCACCTATACATATATAAACACTATATAGTATTTATCTACGAATAGTGCTATAGTTATAATAATTTTTGGAAATGTATGATAGGTGTAGATATTCTACACTATGTACAACGTAGTCGTATCAGCTGTACGGTGTACTTAAATATATACAAAAAAACCGTTTAACCTTTATAGTAAACAAATATTTTACATTAAATAAATACGAAAACCCTTGCAAATAATAATAGCTCCGGACTTATATATTAGTTATACATATTCTATACCTATAGTTATATATATCTGCAATGTACAACTATAACTTTTAAAGAACCTGCCTTTAAGTCGCAGTGGATAATACATTTGTAGATTATAGATATTTCTCATTGCAATGAGCATAATCTTCCGTATGTTTTTTAGTATTACCAGTGATATAATAGCATATGTTATATGAGCTGATGAAAGCTTCAAAACACACTGTGATGGGGATAATGAATATACTAACATCTATATAAATTCGGGAATTTGTTTTGTAATGATATTCTATGATAAATAAAAGTTCAGCCCAATGATTAATTTTTAAATAACGACACGGTGGAAGTAAATACGTTACAGCAAATCGAGTATAATCAATCAAAACGCAAGGCGCATGATGTACTTATATAATAATTATTACAGTAGTATACCAAGTAAACCTCCATTTAATCGAAATGACAAAACAATTATATTTTGTAGATGATTGCACAGTGCACACCGTAGGTATAATATAACCTTACTAAAATAATAAAAACAATTTTTAAAAATGCGCATTACGTAGGTAGTTATACCTTAACATTAGACACATCGTCTCACAGCGCAGACCAAGTATTTTAAATTCTTATAATATATTTATGATTTTATTACAACAGTGAATATTATATTCGGATAGCAATTATATTAATTCGTAGCGGGAGGCGCTCGCGCAAGTACAAAGACGACGATTTTCGTAATAATAGAGGTGGCATCGGCGGCGTTACGCGGCGTCCGGAAATTAATATTTTCTTTCATTTTCCGCGGCGGCGGTACAGTCGCCACGGCGGCCACCGTCGCCGCGCCGTCGTCGTCGTCGTCGGCGGCGGCGGGGTTCGTCATCCATTGGACGGGACGATGAGCACGCCCACCGGCCGGCCACGTCCCCCACTAACCCTGCCCTCCGCCGCCGCTGCTGCTGCTTCGGCGGACACCGTGGCGGCGAGGAAAAGGCGCGCGCGTCACCACCGCCACCGCTACGGCTGCCGCCGTGCCGTCCCCCGTCCGTCAGTCTCGTTCGGGCGTGCTTACCGGTCGGTCGGCCGCGATCCATCTCTCTCGCTTAGCGCAGTAGCGCCCGTCTTCTACACGCCGCCCGCCAGTCCGCCAGCCCGTCCGTCCCCCCCACCACGCGTTCTTACGCACGCGCAGCACACGCTCTCTCGCGCCCGACGTCGACGGCCCGAGTCGAACGCACACACACGACAACGACGACGCGCCGCGCACACGGGCGTCCCGGCAAACCGTACCGTCATCTCACTCGCCACTCCGCTGCCGAACGAGTCGTCGTGTTCGTCTCGCGCGCGCGTGCAATTCGTTTTTATTTTTAAACAACGTAATACGACAGTGGTACATTTTTTTTTTTTTCAATTATTTTTTTATTATTACGTACATTACTTGTAATTATTTTTATTATCGTTATCATTATTTTATTATTATTATAATTTTCATCATTACCGTTTTTGCTACAACGGACGCCGCAAATAATTTTGTAATTTCGTCGTTCGAGTAGTAGCAGGTGATTTTAACGTTTTCACGCGTCTTACATTTTTTTTTTTTTTTAATCATTGACGTTTAAAGAATATTCGCTAGTTTTATTTTTTTACTATAATTATTTATTGTTTCCGTGTTTACCGCGTACGAACTATAACGGCACCGCCTGCAGATACTGACGAGAGTCGACCGGCGCCCGGCGGTGCAGGTGCCGCCTTACCCCGACGAGATGGGTTTCCGCGGCGGCGACGAGTCCGATGATGCCGCCGCGTTCGGTTCGTAGTGTCCGCGCGAAGTAACAGCGGTATTTCTGTTTTTCGCCATCGTTTTCGGTTCTGCTCGAGAACAAGCAGCAGCAGCAGCAGCAGCAGCATCATCATCATCACCGCCGAAAGTCAAGACACCCGTTCCGCGTAACTATCAAAAACCGTCATAATCGCAATACACACGATAGACGTAAATCCGCGCCGACCGTCATCGCGCCGCTTATTCTCGTATCCGCAGAAGAGCTCCATCACCGTCGTCCGCATGTCCCGCAGAAAGCAGTCCAGACCGGTCAAGGTCCTCGAGGACGGGTCTGAGGAAGAGTGCACCAGCGGCGTCTCTCTCGGAGAACCAGGCGCGGCCGTCGTTGTCAACGGGCACCACGTATCTACGTCCACACGTAGATTCGACGACGGTAAGTACCTGAAAATGGAACTCAATACCTGTTAATCATATAATAATATTCCTGGCGTCCAATTTAATATTACTGTTGCCTGTTAAGTCGTCTCCGAGGGGGAGGGGGCACTAAATGTTCGATGGGGTGCATTAGGGGCACACGCACACACACCACCGCGTATGAGGATTTTATTGCCAAAGTTATTGGTACGCATCAATCACTCGTGTGATTATTTCAGATGTTTTACCTTTTTAAGTCTCCGTCATCGTCGTCGCCGCGATAACCCGACGATTTATAAAATATATTTTTAGATAACCTTAGGAAATATCGATAATTGGAACAATTATCACTTTTACGATCGTAAAAGTACCTTTATTTCTATATAATGATATCAAATGCTTTATTTCGAACGCTCGTTGAAATTTTTACTCGTTTAGGTACGAAGTCTTTCATTTTTCTGTTATAGAAACTTAATAACGTAATATTTTATATCATACTAAAATTCACAATATATAATCTACAACTTATTAAAAATATTACGCAGCCGGAATAATAATCGATTTGATAATTTTAATGTTATGGATAAAAGATATTGTACAAAATTATCTCTAATATAGCTATCCCGTACAGCTATTGACAAGATAATAAACTTCTATTCCCTCAAACATAGTTATTCGCATGAAGGTACTATTTTAATCTTTAATTTAAATCTAATGTTTACAATAGTTGCTGGCAATACAATTAAATTTCCGTAGGTTATATTGGCATTGTATTGTTAAGGTGTATCTGTATCGTATGGAAAGTGATACAATGTTACGTTTGAATGACATGTTTAAGAAAACGTAAAATACTAATTATCAATCGGAATTTGGACAAAAATTAAGATAATTATTATTACACTGATATTTTGAGTAAATATTTAAAGAATATTATTTTAAAATAATTTTTGCATACCTAAATAATACCCTATTTATATAAAGATGAAACTAAAAGACATTCAAGTATAAATACTTATGAATGGAGAAATATTGGTTCTAATATTTTTTATACATAACGAAATTATGTTTATTGTTGTAATTCAATTAATATATAAATGGTAATTTATTAATGATTATGTTTATGTAATGTTTCAGTAAAATTACTGATATTACATCTATAATTATAAGCTTTTATCAAACACTCCAATAAAAATTACTTCAAATGTATCAATTAATTTGCTATCTCGTAAAACTTTATTAATTCATGATAAATTCCATCACACATTTAGTATTCACAGATAATTTGAACTTCAATCTGACGGAATAACTTTATTCAGTTACATATAAATAATATAAATGAATTGTTTTTGTGTCTCAAAAACGGCGTTTGAAAGTTTTTCGTTTTACATTATATTTTACCCTATATACAACTATGCGCTGTTAATTCATTATATAATTCAGTTACAATAAAATCGGAAACGATAAAATGTTCCAAAAGTTATTCCGTTGTTAAAATAACTCGCGTCTTAATACAAAATTATTTTCTTCAAAAGACTTATTAATCAATTACGGCTGAAAATTTGTTTGCTCGAAACTTAGTGTTTAAAACAAAGTTCACTTTTTGGGATGAAGTCCTTATCAGATCAGACATTCAAAAATAAATAATAATAATAAAAAAATATAATTTAATACTTGATTCTGAACAAACCAATATAATATATAGGCAGTAGTACGCACACAATATAATATTATTGTACACGGGAAATGGTTTTGAATATAAAAGACACTATCGTGGCACACACTCGTCCCGAGCATATACATTTTTATTATACGGCGGGGCGTGTATATGTGAAAAACCGTTTTCGGTTTTTGTTTTATGTGTTATTTACACTCTTTCTGATGCGTCCAGCGATGACACATAATAATAAACCGGAGCGAGGTTTGGAGTTATAATAATAAAATTCGTTGTGACCACAACACGCCATACAAATCTCATAACATAACATAACATAACATACACAGGCACACACACACACACACACATATATATACACATTTGCCGTTCTTGTAGTGTTATATGTACAATATATACATATACGTGTGTGTGTATGTGTCTGCGTGCAAGTGTGAACGGTGGCGGGGAGAGGACGGACGAAAATTACGACTCGGACTCGCTGAGTAAATCCATGAAAACTACTACAACTACCACTACTGCCCTGTTGTTACTGCTATTACACCCGCGTATAAGAGAGCATATAGTGTGCATAGGTCCTATTTGTGTTATTCGTCCCAAGGGCATGTGTGGTGCCTCCGTCGCCGCGACGATGACTTTATTCCGCTCGCCGCCCGCACGCGCGCTCACACCCACCAACCCACCCACCCACACACACACACGAACGCGAGTAAGTCCGTGCAGGTTTGCCGATGTGTGCGTACCCCGTGTATATTATTCTGATTTCACTGTGTTCCGGCACATGAAGTTAGTATATGGTCTACGGGGCTGCTGCAGCCCGTGGATGCTGAGCTCTTTTTCTCTCTATTCCTCTCTCCGTCCTTATGTGTAGCGTATATATATACATATATACGATGGGGGCGAGAGTTTTCCCACCGGGCTCGTTTTTTTGCGGACTTTTATGGATAACGCGCGACCGGTCACTATATGTGTATTTTCGCATAGACACACACACACACACACACACATATATGGTGGACCTGCAGAAGGAGAGGCATGGCTATCGGTCTTTATTACAAACTATATATACACTGACTTTGTATTATATACATGTTATATCATATATATTGCTACTGCTGCACGTCATATACGTTCGAACATTTATAACACGTCTACTTCTTTTCTGGTAGGTACTAACCTTATCACACACACACACACACACACACACCGCTGTTTGCCTGTTTACTACCAAAAGACTCTTGGCGTCTGAAAAGTGCCACATATACGTAGCCTCCGTATAATGTTCATAAATGTACTATTATATTATGCACATTATTTGAGTTAATTGTCTCAAGATTTCTCCTTGCAGTTTTCGTTTTGCTTGGTCGTGTTTCTGGTTTAGTGTAGGTACCACTGTACCCACATAATAATAACAATAATCATAATATGTAAGCATTTGATGTGTATTATATTATAATATATACATATACCTGTAATACGCTTCGAGACACTCTTACATATTATTATTATTATATTATACATGCGCACAGCTGAACAAACCGACCGAACTGATAAAATTGTATAATAGTATTATAATGATTGCGTATGTGTACAAAGAGAAAAAAATCGATTCGATTGTTACGGACGGGGCAACTGTGACATAAATTTACATGTCCACCAAGAGCAGACCCGGGAATTTGTGGAATTATAATAATATTCATAAATCAATCAATTTCGGCGACGACCGGAGACAACAATAGTACATATAAATAGTAGCGACAGAAGAATTCCCACCGCGATATTTTTTAAATTTTAATACCAGTTTTATATAATAATACACGTAAAATTCGATTCACCGACATTGTGTTTTGTTTTCACATGGTCGTGTGTGTTAGTGTTTGTGCGTGTGCGTGTGTGTATGTATTATTTTAACAGTTTATGGACACTATTTTATTGAAAGAACTAAGAATAAGTGTTTAAAAATCGAAATGCATTGATGCAAATAGCGTTATTTCGTTTTTAGACGTGCGTGTGTGTGTGTGTGTGTGTGTGTGTGTGTGTGTGTGTGTGTGTGTATGTATGTGCGCGCTCGCGCGCAAGTGTATTTTGTTGAGCGGGATAATTTTCCACGTTTCCGGTGTTTCCGTAAAACAAAAATAAACGACAAAATTTTTTTTGCCCAAGACCGATCATAACAATAGAACGAAAAAAAAAATATACGTGTGTGTTCGTTACACACGTATATATATACATAGGTATATTATATGTGTACAAGTTATAAATGTTTAGCGTGATGATGACTTGACGGTTTTCATTCATGAAACGTCGACGCCACCAGCAACAGCAGCAGCACCATTATAATAGGTTGGTATAGTTTGGTACCTATATAATAATATATAGTGTACCTACGACGCGCGTGTGCATTGCGCGTCGTGAAACCGAGTAAAACGGCTCACCGGTGGAAAACCGATTCTCACATTGCCCTCTCGAAGTACGCAGCGGTGGGGAGGGAGACACTTAATTTTTTTCCGATAATATACATTTTATATTATAATAACTATGGGTATAAACCGTCATGTGTATAGATATAGGTATATGTTTTAATATATATATCGACCGCCGTATAGCGCGTTGTTTCCTCGCGCGCGTCGTCGTTTCATTCATAAAAGAATCGTGGGAGTTTTTTTTTCCTCCTCTAGGACGCTTATTGGAATTAAAACGCGCGCACACCGGAAAAAGGAAAAAGAGGAAAAAACGGTCTTACGGTCTTTAAGAAAAAAAATAATATTACGCGCTGCCGCCGCCGCCACTGCCACCGAAAGACATTACCTATAACAGGTATATCGTATACTACTCGGCGGCGGCACTATTATTATTATTACACTTGTGTATATCTTATATCCGTATACATAATTTATTTTTTTATATTTTACTACGAATATTACTATTATTACTATTACTACTCGTACTAGTGTCTGCTGGTCGTCGGTCGGCCTACCGCGCGGCGCGTACCTATGGTTTGTTTAACAACGGAGACGACAGAAAAACGCGTCCGTGTATACGTATACCGGTCACGCACGGATTTCGTCTACGTCGGCGGGAATCGATTACACTCCTCGCGATGTATATACGACGCGACGTGGCAGCACTCTTCCTAAATCCTCCGCGGGATCACCAAAGACGATTCAACGGTATGATAATATATGTATATATTGTACAGAAATAAATGTTCGGATATGGATCCGGAAGAAAATTCCTAACCGTCGATGACATGTACTTTTACATTTCTCTTAGTGACCACTCTAGTAGTCCTCCACTTCTGCAGCTGTTGCAGAGGGGTGTCTGCGGTGTTAACGGTAATTAATTAA